ATTTATATATTTATAATTGTTACCCTTTCATTTTTTTACTCTTTTGTATTCATTTATTATTTATTAATAATATATTATTTGATTAAAATGATAGAATTTGTTATATAATTTGAAGTATTAAGAATGATATATGTTAAATCTTTTTTATTATTATTTTAAAAAATATTATTAATTGTTACAATTAAAAAAATAAGTTGAGGAATAAAAAAATAAAGTTAAAAATATTTTAGGAATAATTTAAAAAAGTGAATAGACAAAATATCTATATATATTTTTAGAAATTTAAACCAAAAATTTATAATTTATTAGTTACTTTTCACATTTTTTATTAAATAAAAATAATAAATATATATTAATGAGAATTCAAGCAATAAAAATTATTGAAGAAATACATAATACATAGATAATTCTTTGGTGTATAATTAAAAAAATGTATTATTGTCAAAATATTTATGAACAAACTAACTAACGTGTTATTAGCATAACAAATTGATAATCATCGTATAATATAATAATAATTATAATATTTAAAATAATACTATAATTATTATTATTACTATTATATAATAAGTTCTCATCTGATTTTACGATAAACGGTTAACAAATCAATTTCATTTCAATAAAAAAAAAAAAGTTCATAATATAACCGTAACCAATTCATAACAATTGCCACAATTGAGATTCAACCACATAACAAATAACAAATAGCAAATTCTAAACTTAGAGTCTATGAAATTCAAACACATAACAAAACAAAAAATGTAGCATATGTTTTAAACTTAGAGTCTAGATTTTGACATAGGGAGATTCAGTATAAGAGATTGAAATCAACTCAGATCTAATTTTATCTTTCCAATCATCATTTGGTCTTTCAAAATCATCTGCGTCCTTGCCTTCAACCACACTATCTGAATCAGGTAAAGAATAAGAGATAGCTATAAGTGACTCACGTGTCATCTCCTCAGATGATTTATTGTTCTGTGATTTGTTATTCATATAACTTTCAGATGACTTATTGCTCCGTGATTTGCTATCCATAGAGTCCTTGCCTTCAGCAGGAATATTTGAATCCAGAATTTTGTCAGGTAAAGAATTAGAGATAGCTATAAGTAACTCACGTGTCACCTCCTCAGATGGTTTATTGTTTTGTGATTTGCTATCCATATAACTTTATGCTAATTCCTGTCAGTCAAAATTTGTTGAAAGATCATAAAAAATATTATATATAATTATTAAATATTATTTAAATTTAACACATTAAATATTAATGTACATGACTTTAAAAAATTTAAATATAAAATAAAAGTATTACACTTACCAACCACTCTCGAATACTCTAGAAGACGAAGACGCTGAAACTGTTACACACAAAAGAAAAAAAAAGAAAGCAATCTTACATATGAAGAAGAGAGTCTCACACTTGGAAGATTAAGGGAGTGAAAAAAACAAAAGAGGCATACCGGAAGCAAGAGAAAATCAAATCAAGGAGAAACAAGGAACAGTAACAACATGAAATTACAATCTTTCACAAAGAGAAGAGAGATACGTATTTAAACTATAAGCTTTCACAGTATTAGAAGAGAGGAGAGATACATGTTTAAATAATTCAAATCTGTTTTGATAAATATTTAAATAATTTAAATCTGTTTTGATTAATTTAACAATAATAATAACAGAAAAATATTTATTATTCTATTTTTAATTTTGTTTTTATAAGCTCTCGTATAAAAATGTTAAAAAAAATACATATTTAAATAATTCAAATCTGTTTTCATAAATATTTAAATAATTTAAATCTATCTTGATTAATTTAATAATAATAATAATAGAAAAATATTTGTTATTCTATTTTTATTTTTGATTTTATAAGCTCTAAAATAAAAAAAATGAAAAAAGATACGTATTTAAATAATTTAAATATGTTTTGATAAATATTTAAATAATTTAAATCTATCTTCATTAATTTAACAATAATAATAACAGAAAAATGTTTGTTATTCTATTTTTATTTTTGATTTTATAAGCTGTTGGAAAAAAAATGAAAAAGCGATATGTATTTAAATAATTCAAATATGTTTTTGATAAATATTTAAATAATTTAAATCTGTTTTGATTAATTAAACAGTAATAATATCAGAAAAATATTTGTTATTCTATTTTTATTTTTGTTTCATAAGCTCTCAAAAAAATGTTAAAAAAATATATATTTAAATAATTTAAATATATTTTGATAAATATTTAAATAATTTAAATTTATCTTGATTAATTTAACAATAATAATAACAAAAAATATTTGTTATTCTATTTTTATTTTTGATTTTATAAGCTGTAAAAAAAATGAAAAAGAGATACGTATTTAAATAATTCAAATATGTTTTTGATAAATATTTAAATACTTTAAATATGTTTTGATTGATTTAACAGTAACAATAATAGAAAAATATTTGTTATTCTATTTTTATTTTTGTTTTAATAAACTCTAAAAAAATGTTAAAAAAAAGATACATATTTAAATAATTCAAATCAATTTTGATTAATTTAACAATAACAATGACAGAAAAAATTGTTATGATATATTTATTTTTGATTATTTTTCGATAAGAATTTTTTAAGAATGAATCGAGATAAATCGGGTATCGGAGATGAATCGGCATCGAATACTATCCGGTACAGATACGTTGTGCATCATAGGTTAAGGCGATGAACAACAATAAATGAGATGGTGTCTAATTTGAATGGTTTAGACATCCATAAAAGTGGTGACACTATGAAGACGGTGAAGATAGATTGCAGATTCTGAATGTAACTTGATTGTTCAATTTTCTGTGATAAACTAGCTTCCATTCCATGGAGTACTTAAAGTGGTTTGACAAGACTCATGATGAGAGAGTATGATGGGCACAGATGGAGCCAAGGTTTAGCTAAAATTTGGTAGACAGGTGTTGAAGATAGAATAGAGACAGAGAATTCTTGTATATATATGGCAAGGGAGACTGCATCTAGGAGGCTGAATAAGAAGCAGTGAGTGTCTAATTTCGTTACCGATTGAACTGTAAGTCATATAAGGATTATTAAAGTTTAGAGTTAAAGCTGGTTATTCTAGTAAGTTATTTTATCTAAATCTCTTTCTTAAGTTATGTGTAAAAAACTTAATAGAAATAGAAATATTTGTCACCTACGTCTTTTGAAAGTGACATTATCCTCCAAAGTTTTGAAATTTTAGTATATATTTATGATTTTTGTTCACAAAATATATTTATTTATATATTTATAGATATTATCCTTTATATTTATTTATTATTTGTTAATAATATATTATTTGACTAAAATGGTAAAATTTATCATACGATATCTTTTCTGTTATTATATAAAAAAATCTTATTAATTGTTACGATTAAAAAAATAAGTTGAGGAATAAAAAAATAAAATTAAAAATATTTAAGAATAATTTGAAAGAGTGAATAGCAAAATATCTATATATTCTTTTAGAAACTTAAACCAAAAATTTATAATTTATTAGTTACTTTTCACATTTTTTATTAAATAAAATAATAATTATATATTAATGAGAATTCAAGAAATACATATTACATAGATAATTCTTTGGTGTAAAATTAAAAAATGTATTATTGTCAAAATATTTATGAACCAACAAACTGATTTAGACAGTGTCATGAATAACAATACAGTGTCATGAGTAACAATACGATATCAACTCGTGTTATTACCATAACAAATTGATAATCGATTGTATAATATAATAATTATTATAATATTTAAAATAATACTATACTTATTATTATAATTATTATAATATTATTATATAATAAATTCTCATCTGATTTTATGATGAACTGTTAACAAATCAGTTTCATTTCAATAGTTATCTATCTGTTGTGTTCATGTACTCTCAACACAAACATCTGCTTGTTGCAGAGAGTAGTGTTTGGAATCTTGGGAATCTTTATATTATTTTCTCTTTAAAAATAATTATTGGATTCTTACTTATTCTGTCTTATTTATTTTGAAAATCATATTAGCAAATTTTTAAAGAGTGTTCGGCCTTTTTTATGCACACTGAAACAGTACACACCATCAAATAATACCATGATCATGATTGAAAAATCTCATTTTCTTATATTAATAAGAAAACTAATGAAATTACTCGTATTTAAGAACACTGAGATGCGTCAAACTCAATCTACGTTGATTATACACGTTCCCTGTCCTCTACTTCAGAGGATCTTCCTTCTATAGGTTGGTTATACAAACGTAAGTCTTTTTTTTTTTTTTTCAAAACTATGAAAAGGCTTTGAATCAAATAACAAATTAATTCAATCTCTTTCTCTTCTCGAGTTCTGTTCACAAATTTGCAGCAGAAATGTCCCACTTTACTAGTATTTTATCAGAAATTAAAAACTTGTCCGTATGTTACTTTTACTTAATAAACTATTTTTTTTTTTTACTTTTCTTTTGTAAAAAGAGCATATAGAATAATTCATCCAAATGTCCATAGTATAAACACATAACAAAACAAAAAATGCAGTATATGCTCTAAACTTAAGTCTAGACTCCCCTGTAATTCTATCAGATTTTGATATCTAGAGGTTCAGCATAGGAGATTGAAATCAACTCAGATCTAAATTTATCGTCCCAATGAACGTTTGGTCTTTCAAAGCTATCTACCTTCCTTCTTGCTTTCAGAGACGATATCTGAATCCAAAATTTTATCAGGTAAAGAATCAGAGATAGCTATAAACAACTAACAACTCACAGATGATTTATTACTCAACTAACAACTCACAGATGATTTATTACTCGATGATTTACTATCCATGTAACTTTATGCTATTTCCTACTAGTCAAAATTTGTTGAGAGATCATACAAGAATCATATATTTCCAACATAGTGACGTGTGTTTCATTTCTGCTCACTTAATTACAATCATTATTATCACTTTTCCTTTTTTTTGTCAGTGACACTAATAAGGAGATTGCAATCATTGCATGTATTTCGTGTCTGTGTGGTGCGCTGCCACAGAACCCCAGTTTTTTATATCTCTTGATCTCACTCTCACACCAATCAAATGCTAAATAAGTATTAAAATACATTCATATAGTAAAGGAAAATGATTAAATTAGTAAACCATTAGATGAGCAAAAAGAATTGAAACATGGTATAGACTGAAATTAAGATAGAACTATAAATGAAAAATAGTATTAGCAATGTTAATGACATTTGGCCATTTCCATATCACCATTTTTCTTGAAATATTTCCACTAGTATGATCAACCCCCAACACATTGAACAGTTATGCAACAAGGATACATGCCGCAAAAATAAAACTACTACTAAGGAGAATTGAGTCAGTGACAGAGTGACACCAATGACAAAGCAAATAAAGGTGTGAAATATAAAGGAAACAAGAAATGAGGGTTGGTTAAGGCTAAGAACAGCAACAAATGAGGATGCTGTCTTAATTTGAATGGTTTAGACATCCATAAAAGTGGTGACACTATCAAGATGGTGAAGATAGATTGCACATTCTGAATGTAACTTGATTGTTCAATTTTCTCTGATAAGCTAGCTTCCATTCCATGGAGTACTTTAAGTGGTTTGACAAGACTCATGATCAGAGAGTATGATCAGCACAGATGGAACCAAGGTTTAGCTAAAATTTGGTAGACAGGTGTTGAAGATAGAATAGAGACAGAGAATTCTTGTATATGGCAAGGAAAGCTTTTAGATCTTACGTTCCAACTGGTCTTTGACTTGGAGTACTTGGAACATTCTACAACTAAGAAACTCTGGGCTACGTAAGGGAGACAGCATCTAGGAGGCTGAACAAGATTACACGAAGCAATAAATCTAGTTCCTTCCAACACTTTCAGTCGGCATCCAAAGTCTTCTTCCATTGCACTAACTATATAAAGGCAAAAGAATTATAATTGATAATTCTATCAGAAGGGTTAGCAAAGGGATTGTGTAACAGAAACAAACATGGGGTGGATGCTTACTGAACTCTAGGTGTGTATTCTAACTTCCTTTTCTTTTTCTTAGTTTTATGTCTGTCTTTGATCTTATACGCCAACATAGATCTGATTTCTTTCAGAAGGAATCACTAAATACTCATTCAACCAAACAGCAAAGCAAATTCTGATTCTTCCTATTAACTACCGTGGAATTCATAAACCCGAAACACCAAATCGACAGATACTGTTCTCTGCCCCCAATCAGCTAGTCACAAATATCATCGTAAAACAATCCAGATACCTCCTGTCAAGGACCTACCTGATTTATACACAAGTTTCATTGACCCTACAAAATCCTAAGTCTTCTGCCATTTTACATTAAATCTCTAGATTCCATCAAAACCACATTAGTTTACGAAGAAAGCTAAATATGTAAAAACCAAAAGAACATGAAAACTACTACTAATAATAATATTAGATTAATAGTGACTTCTTGAACTCCAAACACATGTTAATTAAGTAGTAAGCACCCCACTTCTTGTTCTTGTGCCAAGGTAGCAACAAGTATCACCCAAACAGTAATTAACACGACTCCATTATTTTAGACCAAAATATTATCATTCCATCAGTGAATTTTCACAAACAATTCAGTGCTGAATTGAATTAAGAGTGATTCGGCTTTTTTCAACAGGATTATTAAATCAAACATGAAAATATTATTTATTATTACTGGTTCGATTCCACGGGATCAATATGAATAAAGAAAAAATCCATTATTATCTAATATTATAAACAATTTAATTGTATTGCAATTGGTTGGTTGCAGTTGGCGATCAACATCTAGAAAAGAGTTGAGAATAATAAGACGAGCATACGTTCATGCGAAACAAACAATCGGCACAGAACATGCGAAAACATGAAAACGCACAACAGAAATGACGGATCGAAAAATGGAGAATGCTACCTTTAATTTCAGCGCTTCAGAGATGAACGCTTCTTCGCCCTTCTATCACCTTCTCAACCCCAATCTTTTCCACCCTCTTTCCTAATTTCCTGGCCGTTAAGATTTAATATGATAACGTTTCCTCTTCAAATACGTGTGTACACGGTGGCCAACTTTTTTAAGAGAAAAAAATGCCTTGCCACCCAATTTTTAATATATATATATATATATATATATATATATATATATATATATATATATATATATATATTATCTATATAAACTGATTTAATATAAAATTTAATTTTTCATTGTATTAAATTTTATTATTTAGTATTTAAAATTGCTTGACACCTCAGATAATTAAGTGAAAATTTGTTACATATAAAAAAATCCGATTTTCATTTGTTCCACTTTTAAGGTTTATATATAAAAAAATTATTTTGAGAATATTCTAATTTATATTTTAAGATTAATATATGATGTTAAATTTATTTTTGAATGAATAAATATTAGTATTAATATATTAATTTGTATGTTGTCATTTTTAATTCATTACTTAAATAATACTAAATCATTCGAACAAATTTATTTAATTTGATTTTTTATTATTATTTAAAATAATTAAGTAATTTTAATTGATTTATTTTTTTCATTAATTAATATATACCAGTGTTATATTACAAGTACCCTAATTTTATGAGCATTACCAAAACAAAGGGAACCTCACGTTACAATTCATTATGATCCAGCAAAAAAAGTGATTAATTTTTAGCTTCAACTATGTATTTGAATAGGATAAATATATATTTTATATAATTAAAATTACAACACATACATTTCAACATGTAAATTATATTATAATTAAAAACAAATAGCAAAATAAATTTTTAAATATATAAATTATATTTTAAATATTCACTTGAATATTTAAAATGTAGCACATTCAAATCATGGAATAGAACAAACAAAAGAAAAAGGGCTTTAACAGTAGTATAAAAAATCACACACTCCATAGTAGTACACTAGTAAATTTTGAGTTCTCTTCTTTGACTAATTTTTACTTTCCCATTTATGTTAAGCGCAAATGGACAATACTCAAGGGCTATAAGCCCATGATCCATGGGCTAATTGGGCTCAACGTAGATATTTAATAAAATATTAAAGTGAAAAGTATGAAATTGTTTATATTTGCAGAAAATAATGTCCAAACTATCTAAACTCATTAATTCCAACCTGAATATCTGTCATTTTGGTCACTAATAATTTATTCCGACACAAATAATGGAGTGTTATTGGAAACCCAAAGTGTTTCATTTTTGGTTATTTTTTATAATTTTTAGGAACTTGTATCTTGGACAGAAAGATCTAAAAAGAAACTCCTACATTTAGGTTTGATTGCCAACATGATTACAATATGCCTAAAGACTAAAAACGAGTGGGAAAGTGTAAGTTTAAGTGCTTTTTCTTAATAATTGGGACATCTTTTTAAGAAACAAGTATATTAGGCAACCTAATTTAGTGGAACATTTTAAGTGAAGGTAATGAATTTTGGAAAACAGAGGATATATTGAGAGAAAGCAAACGTAGTGCTTTGCTTATTCATTAATCTTGTCCTTTCCTTTTTGAAAAAGGTTTCTGTCCATTTAATCACTCTTAATATAAACCAAAATGACCGGGAAAGGTTCTTTCTAGTTAAAAAAGTAATTTTTTTTTAATTGTCTATGAAAAATATTATTTCATAAATGGTGGCACCCATATTGTGATTCAACCTTGTACGCAATGTCTTCTTTTGATGTTCAGAAATGAAGTTCAAAATCATATATATGCTACCTTTATATCAATATATGATATAGGATTGTTATTGTTATAATTTTTCGGATTTAATTGAGAAATAAAAGATGATTCAGAACTTTAATTACGAATGCTTTGGATAGACTATGATGGCCATGAATTTTTTATACTCATCGAGTATGATGTTTCAAGAAATATAAAAATAAAATAAAGAGGAAAGAGATGAACAAAGAAGCTTTATTGAAGAAAGCTTTGCTTACTTGTTTTAGCGAAATTTGAAGCGTTTGAGACACTCCTTCTTCCTCTTTAAACACAGATTTTACATCTCAAATGTCCCTCTTCATTTATACCTTTTATGTTCCCTCAAAGAGCATTAACGCCATTCATGTCATAGCTTTTTTATGTCCAAGAATTTTGTTCACAAGCATTTTGAATTTTTTTTTTTATACATCGATATTCAATAGTATCGGAATATATAGAGAAGGTTTTAATTAAAATAATATTAGTGGATATTTTTTATTTTTAGAAATTTTATTCTTGTGCTTTTGAGGTTATGTGTAAGATGGAGAAAAAAATTATTATTAAATTTTTCATGCGCATGTTTTTACATAATTATGTATGTAAATGAATATATTGAAAAAGGCTAATAAGATAATTAATCGTAATCTTAAACATAAAACAGCATTATTTAAATGAAAAAAATACTTCTAATTTTATTAAAATGTTTTTTTAATAGACAAAATTTACCTAAATTTAGATTTGTTTGTCATGAATTTTTACTTAATCTTGTCATAAATTTTTGTTATAATGTATTATAAATGATAGCTAGATTTAAGGATTTCACTTAATTGGAACATGTAACTTTTAGGTGATATTTTATATATATATATATATATATATATATATATATATAATTAGAAATTTATTTTCTATTTTTATTATTATTTTCTTATATTTTAATAATTAAAATGAGTTATTATTTTAGACCAATGATGGATAATGAGATATATAACAAATATTTAAAAAGAAATTATCATTTATACAATAATATTTTACAATTTTTAATTCAAATAATATCATTCTATCTCCATAATATAAATAATATTATCCTTTTAATCAAATAAATTATCATTACTTTTTCTTTTCTACTTATCTCTATTTTTATATAAAAAAAATAGATAAATGTAAATAAAAAAATAGAGTATAAGAGAGAAGAAAAATCTACTTGCATTATATAAATCAGATATTCTCAACGATTTATTTATTTTTCTCATCCAGAGGTTAATTTTACATAATTTTTTGAAACCAAACAATTTTTTATTTTCGATCAAATTAAATTATCCTTCTATTGTATTTATATCTATATTTGATTGTTTTAAACCTTGTTTTAATTTAAAATATGATTTTCTATTACAATTAAAAATATTTACCATTTATAAACAAATAAAATATATATAGAGAGAGAGAGTGAGAGAGAAAAACATGTGACATTTATTATAAACTTTAATTATAATAATATAAAAGAAACGTATCTCTCGTAATCCATATATTCAATTATTCGTTGTATAATAAGACAACTTTAACTAAACCAAAATTTCCATCATAGCAGGTAACATCCTCGTGATTCATGCAGGAATGTCAGAAATTTTAGGTCAAATTAATACACGTGCAAATAATTATTTTTATTAGTATCTACTCATAGAAGCAACGTAATTCATAATTAGTTATAGTTTGAGGGTTATCCATGCTAGTACCTAGGTTTAGGTATTCCATTAGACCTAATAATTTACCTCTTCAAGATTTGCTTATGACGTGTTAAAAGAATAAATTTTTGAAGGTGGAATTTGACTTTTCAATAAATTTAATATATTACATACTAAAAAATTTTGTTTAATTAAAAAAAAATTTATAGAATTTTTTCATAAAAAAAAATCAAATATTAGGTAAAGTGAAAATACTTTTTGTCTAGATCACACATCAAAATTATGTATATAACTTTTCCTTTTAAGTAATAGACGGTGAAAGGAACTTAAAGTATGTCATTGACGTTACTTTCTTTGTTGAAATTAATTTCTTAATTAAGTTTGTTCCACAATGCATTACATATCATACATTGTCCATTTTTAATATTGATTTAGTTAATTAATTTGTAAACTATTTTATTACTAAAATTATTGGATAAACAAATTTTAGGTTGCTATAATGA